TGTTGCAGACCAAATTGTTTGGCCAAGTGAGGAAGTCAGGTGTTGAGCGTCCATCGACTGGTCTTAAACGCAAGGCGAGTTTTGATGGTGCGTCTTCGAAGAAAATGAAAGCGGAGGAGAGGGTGGGTCTCGGCATTGACACCTGGAATAAATAAGCATGACCCGTGCACAACCATGGAGCGTGTGTATCACGTATACCGGGCTTCTAGCTGTCTATCTACTTTCTACTTCCTCACCGCCACGACTCCTAGTCGCCTATCACTTTTGCGGGTCAAAGCTGGTTATGGCTGGATATGCTTGCTATTCAAGACGGGTGTCACTTGGATCTTGGATTTGTTTCTTATGTACTTTTCTTCCCTTCCTGGGGGTCTGTGACGAATGATGATGAACTGTAAAATCCCATGGGGCACCGGGTGTTTTTTTAAGGGTACTACGACTTATTGGCAACTGGTTCTGGGACTTATCACACAGGAGTATCTCTATGGTTTCTCAGTATATTGATGGCTTCAATACGAATAGTTGGGCAGATTTGGACATAACGTCATCATGAATAAGAAATTGTTAACTGATATATTATCTGCAATCGGTCGAGCAAAGAATTCCATATACTGCTTTGGTAGATGGCTTGCAGAGGAACTCCCGATAACTTCCAAGTTCGTCGAACCGCCAAGTCACATGGGTCTTACTCAGCGTGTAACGATGTAACAAGCGTGTACGGCAACGAACTTACCTGGAAGTAACTAGTACCAGGGAAGAACAATACAGTACGGGCGGTCGGTCGCAAAGAGTAGAAGCACAGCCTGAGTCGCAACACTCCAGCAGCCAGTGAGCCTACCACCAGGCAATAAGAATGAAATTTGACGTAGATACACATGTAACATAAGACTCCAATCATTCTAGTCGAGTCTGGATGGCAGTCCCAGATCCCACGAACCGTTCTGCCACGGAGAAAGTCTGGGGGTGACCTTCCGAAACGGGTAAGCAGGGTAGGGCTCGCTAAGCGAGGCGATGCGGCTCTGCGCGGTTGGCCACACCAAAAAAAGTTCCACCTAATAGTGAGACGAGGAGTTTTGAGATACGACCAGCAACCACCCACGACGACGACGACAATCTCCCGGCCTTGATCCCCATCCGTCACAATGGTGCGTTATTCTATCCAATATTGTTCAAATGGCGTCGCTAGATTATCAAATTGATGATCAGACGCTATTTTTTCGCAAAGGACTTCATGTGCTGACCTGGGACCTCTTGGTGGATATAGGCGATCAAGCACAACAACCAGATTCTCAACCAGCGTGAGTGAACCTGCTCGAGGAAGGATACGATGGTGGATATTGTTCAATATATCGGGTTTCGAACTGGCCGGCTGGAATAATATGGACTGATGGGTTTCGATTTCAGACTTCCACAAGGACTGGCAGCGTCGTGTCCGCGTGCACTTCGACCAGGTACGCTCTCGAAAATAAATCCTTTTACCCAACCGATTCCTATCTACAACGAGCGACTCGCCTATTTGGAAAAGAATACGGGATGGGAAAATTTTTTCCTATATGTGTGGTGGACTGACATGTGTTTTTTTTTTTGCTTCAATAGCCTGGCCGCAAGCACCGCCGTCGTGAGGCCCGTCTCGCTAAGGCCGCCGCTGTTGCTCCTCGTCCGGTTGACCAGCTGCGCCCCGTTGTGCGCTGCCCTACCGTCAAGTACAACCGCCGTGTCCGTGCTGGCCGTGGTTTCACCCTCGCTGAGCTGAAGGTAAATTCGTCCCTTGTGTGCAAGACAATGTCACCAGAAAGAAGAAACTGGTGATGGCGTTTGGAAATTAGCCCTGGCGACTGGGCAGGACGAATATATTGGACGGAGGCTTACACGATTATTTTTTTTCTCGCACTATAGGAAGCTGGTATCCCCAAGAAGCTCGCTCGCACCGTCGGTATTGCCGTTGACCACCGCCGTGTCAACTACTCCAAGGAGTCGCTCGTCGCCAATGTTGCTCGCCTCCAGGACTACAAGGCTCGCCTGATCCTCTTCCCCCGCAAGAGCGGTCAGTTCAAGAAGCTTGACTCTTCCGCTGAGGAGGTCAACGCTGCCAAGGCTGCTTTCGCCGAGGGCAAGACCGAGGGCTTCGCCACCCGTGTCGGTGGTGCCCTCCCCATCAAGAACGCCACTCTCGCTGAGGCCGTCACCGAGGTCAAGCGTGACGACCTCCCCAAGGGTGAGGAGGCTGCTTACCGCCGGCTGCGTGAGGCCCGCAGCGAGGCTCGCTACAAGGGTATCCGGGAGAAGCGTGCTAAGGCCAAGGCTGATGAGGAGTCTGCCGCCAAGAAATAGATATCTTGAATCACAGCTAATGATGATCGGGTCAATTTTCAAGTCGGGGATTAGTACCTTGTGTGGCATGGCGTCGCTCCTCTATTTTCCGTTTTCACCTTTGTCCTTAACATAAAAAGCTCCGAAACCCCCTCGAAATGCAAATGTCCCAAATTTTCATGTCTCCAGAAAGCTACTAGCTCCCCACCCTAACGTGAATGAAGTGAAGACCCCAACCTTTTTTTTCTGTCGTCTTTATCTTTATGTTCCTTCTGGACGATTTTGCCCATTCGATCTATCTACCGAAGGACGCGGGAGTCGGGCCTCAGGCTTCGGGTTCACCTCAACAAATACCCCCACTTGGAAACGGTAGACTTGAAGCACGCAGAGGCACGGAGCAAGCTAGTGTACAAATGCGATGATATACGGAGTGTATTCTATGTGACCACCTCGATATCTTGTAGATGTTCGTAGTTTCGACATGAATGTTAACTGTATGTGGATAACTGTCATGCAGCCTAGCTTGTCTGATAAGATCCTTACATATACTATTCTTACGGTCATGTATACTTGAGAGGATTTAGTATCGTAATTAATACTATCAGCCAGCTGCCATAGCCTAGATCTTACACACTTCCTCTGCAAGCCACTCAGGTAGATACAGAGTGCCATCCAATATAGAATCCATATCCAATGAATTCACCGGGCATGAGATGCCAGGTCAGGAGCGTATAAATTACATGAAAAGAAAGTGACCCCGAAGGATCGATAAATTGATAAAGACCGCTGAACGAATTAGCCGACGACGCCCACGTCGACAACCCCTTATCGCTTTCCATCCCATCCAAATTGAGAAAAAACGCCGTTGGTATCCGTCTATTCCAATTAATCTAGCACTTGATTATAACATAAATGATGCGGGTATTCATTTCATGGAGTTAGTACCAAGCAAAGCGCGCAAGACGCAGTCTGTAGCTCTTAGAATTGCGCCAGCAGGAACTCCGCTGCCGCTGCTTCCAGCTTGGTTGTTCTCGTTCGGATTCAAGATGGACTGGAACAGCCGTTTGGATTCCTGATCCACCTTGCGCCTGGAGCCGCTGTCGGACTCGGATAACAGAGAAACGCTGAGTCCCGGTGCTAGTTGTGGCTCACTTGTCCACTCGTCCAGTATTAATCGGCAAGTTACAAGAACTTTCAGTGAGCCGCTCTTGGATTCGAAGAGCATAGACGTGCGCTCGAGGTGCGGGAGAATTTGACGCAGTTCTGACATGCCAAAGGGTTGCGACCTTGCGCTTTTCAGTTTAGTCACATGGTCCCGTTTCGCATGTCCACTAATCAGTTCTGCATGTTGTTCCTCCATATGTAACCATAACTCAGCACGCGATACCATAGCCTCCCAGTATCGGTTAATGCCCCAGCACAGACCTGTGACATCTAGCTTAAGCAACGGATTGGCAAGCCTGGTGTCGACCCAGCGCCGTAGATCCTCTGGAGTCCTTGTATCTTCTCCATTCGCCTGTGAAGCAAATGATATGGAGACCAAGGTTTGTTTTTCTGGGTTGACGTCGAAGGTTACAGATACTTTGTAGCGGTTGGAAGGGAAGGGAGGCGGGGCGGAAAACTGAAGAGTATGTCTCTCTAAGACAAGATCAGGCGTGGAATTAGGTATGGTTTCAGAGTAGGCCGTAAGCTGTAACGGCGCAAGGGCTGTTAGATATGCTTCTGTTTGCGCCTGCTCTCCAAGCGCAAACGGGTTCACTGGAGGGGCCTCGGGTGGGGGTTTCGGGGGTCCCTTGGTGGCAAAAGGGAGCAACGAAGAGATGAGAGACGATATGGAGGATTCGCCTGAGGCCGTTGAGGTCGATTGAGGAGGACCCGTTGCTGCTAACAAAGTACTGTTGGCCGGTCAGTGGCAAGTCATTGACGGCGCCACAAGCGTGTGCAACTTACATTAACCCGGTCAAATCTCGCTCATCACCGGCATCATCTTGCGCCAGGTCTTTCGACCACGTCTCCAATTCCGAGATTTCGTTCCTCAGTTGCTGTAGTTCAGAAGTGAGTTTGTTCTTCAATTTACGCTTCGTCAAGATCTCCTCCGGTAAGGAAGTCCGATCCAACAAGAGGCCTGAATCCGCGGATTCTCCTGCCTCGCCATAGTCGACTTTCCTCAGCTTTGACGGGCTCTGTTCTCGACCATCTGTATTCCTTCTTTTCCCCCACTTTCCCTGTTGCGAGCTTGGGCTACTGCTTAGAAGTCCTTTTGGCCGCCCGGGAGGCCGTTCCAGGCCCAACTGGGTCGGCGTTGGTGGCAGATCTGGCTCGTCTAGGATGTCCTGGAATGATGGCTGTGGTAAAGCCTCATTCGCATCTATATCACCGGTCGCGCTGTCCAGTTCTGATGCCAATTGGTTCTCCGGGGTATCGGTAGGTGGTGGTAATTTTTCTGTGCTCTGTTGGGATGCAGACGGAGACCGGAACACTAGATCGGAGGCAGTAATCCTTGTTGAGACTCGCCTTGGAGGCGCTGCAAAAGCGGCCAGGCCGCTAGAGCGACGGCCAGAAAGGGATGATGCAGGCGACTGTTTGCTACCCTTGAGAGAGCCCAGAGGGCTAGCAGTCGAGGTCAAGGACGGTCTCAGGGCCTTGCGGTCTCGTAGACCGAGCGCTCTTGTTCGGGCTTGACTCGGTTTCTGCATAATTTTCGCCGGGGGCTTATTATTGTCAGTCTCGAGAAGGGTGGGATGCGATCTGGCTAAGCTCGCTCTAGTGGGAGCTTGGTAGGACATCCGTTGACTGGTGCGCTGCTGGGGGTCATCCTGAGAAGGCGCGGGGTCTTTCATTTGCGACGCGGTGACGGGGATCGCGGTCGGGGTCGCTTATGTAGCGGCTCGAGAAGAGGTGAAAACAGAACACCTAATCAGCCGTCCATGCGAGATTTAGAAGCAGACAACCTCCGCAGAGGGGATAGAGGAGCGTCCGGGGGAAAGCGCCATCACCAAACATCAACAACATCCACTGCTTTGCCGGTTTGCACTGTTTGCAGCCTCGGGATTATGACATAACCGCCGCTTTCTCATCTTCAGCCCATCTCTTTCCGATCTTCCCTTTTCTTTTTGTCGCAACTCCAACTTCACCATGGACGCTCCTTGTCTGGCGATTCGTTCGCCCCTCCTCAGACGCTGCCATGTCTGTCTTTCCGGTCCGCGCATACCCGATGCATCTCGCTTGACCCGACCACGTGCCGTCACCCCATTCATTCGCCGCTCCAGCACCCGCAGATATGCCACCGTCCAAGACACACAGGCGGACAGTTTGAATGACTCCAAGTCCCGTCAAGCGCATCCGCTATCGGGCTATTACTACGATATTTTGTCCACTCGCTCACCCTACCGACACCACGCGACAACCGATACCAAGACTGAAGAGCCCAAGCCAGAGGCGCAAACACCACAGGAAAAGATGGCCATTGTCTTCGGCACTCGGTTAGCTGGTCCCGGCAGGTCCTCACGCTACGATCCGGGCTCCGCACCGGATAAGACATGGAAAACCATAAACGGGGTGGCCATCCCTCCTCGACCGGAGGAGCCCGACAATTGCTGCATGAGTGGCTGTGTCCACTGCGTATGGGACGATTTCCGAGACGAGCTGGAGGACTGGGCCTTCAGGCTTGAACAAGCCAAGGCGAAGGGTGCGAGCAAAAGTGATGCCTCGGATATGCGGCATACCCCACGAGCGGAAGTCCGCTCAGCTAGCATGAGCATGGATGACGATGGTGGTGGCAGTGAGACCAATTGGTCGGCGCCTACTTCGGACGATGACTTGTTCGCGAGTATTCCTGTAGGGATTCGAGAGTTCATGAAAACGGAGAAGAAACTGAAGCAACGGCATCAGCAGGAATCAGCGTGAAATGATGCCCGGTACATTTCTTTCTGCTTAGTGGCATTTTTTCTCTTCTCTACTACGAATACCCTTGTGTGATGATTGATGTGGATTAGCTTGGTGTTTGGACTAGATTTGTACATACTTAGACTATACTACTGCTGCTTAGATGTAGATTGTATATATTACTCCGCCATGGTGGTGTTTAAATTATATATGCAAGATGATCCTAACACGATTGAGATTGAACATTCACACATAAATTATAGTCTCCCAATTAACGAAATCTAACTGTCATACACTACATACCGGATTGAATTAGTATTCTCCCGATATGACCAAGATCACAATCCCCATCAATAATATACTACCTCTAATACCTATCAACCCTCCCAAGCAGCAGTCCCGCACTCCACCGCCCAGAAATTCTGCCACCGAATCCCGCCCTGCTATCGCAAAAAAGTCCCATCCATATCGAAGCAAATCAAACCACCGAACCCCAATAACAAACTAGACAAAAGCAGAACAAAATGTCAACATCAAAATCAGAAACAGACATTATCCTAAATAAGGCCAACGTAGCGCTAGCTCGGAGCCAGCGTCTCGTTGCCTCATGGCTACCTGCACCGACGACAGACGATCAAGCGAACAGCAAGAAAACCGAAGAGGAATTACAGCGAGAAGAGGATGAGATTTTCACGGCGGTTCCGGAGACGTATGATACATTCTTTTTGTTTTCTTTTTTTTTTATATCCCTTTCTGTCCCGTCTATGCGGCTCTATGGAGTATCTTCTGACCGGAGGGGACTGGCTACGAACAATAATTGATGGACATGTCATAACTAACAATGGATTCAATGTATAGATTAGGAGTCGGTGCACCACTCCCTACTAAAGCCGTGGACGGAAGTTGGAATCGGACCGAATTGGATTCGAATGACAAATTACGGAAACAGCTCTTGGGAAGGAATTATCAGAAGGTTATGGCTGCGAAGAAGGCTTCGACTGCGAAGGGAGGCGGTAACGATGCTGCTGCTGCGGCGTCAACAAATCCCACTAAGAATGGGGTGGCGAAAACGGAAGAAGAGGATGATGATGACGAGGAAGAGGGACGGACGGCGGCGATAGGGAAGAAGAAAGCTATGTTAGCGAAAAAGCGCAAGGCGCCTGAACCGCAAGCTCAGACGGGATCCGAGACGGTTGGAGGTGAATCCGGAGAATCAAAGCAGACGAGTGATGTCGGTGATGGCACTGAAAGCAAAGCCGATCAGTTGGACAAGCAACCGGGAGCTTCATCACGGCCCGCTAGGGGGAGAAAGAAGGGGACGAGCTTCTTGGATGAGATCCTGGCTGAGCGGTCGAAGAAGAGAAAGAAGAGGTAAACAAGTATATTTGTGATACCCTCTCACCTCACATTAACGGAGCCCAGTCTACGATGTATAACCTCGAGGAAATGAATATACCCATTTAGTTCTCTGTGTACAGTTATTTGTGAATACGTCAAGAATTGTTCATCTAATCCAAAAATAAAATCTCATTGATTGTGCGCCTGCAGCCGGATATCACTATGTCCTCTGCAAATCTAGATTACTATACTCACACAATATCGTGCACCACCACCCCAAACCCAGGGTATATAATATAACAACAGGAAGGCGGAGCAGCCGAGAATGGTTCTCTGTGCAAGGGCCTTCCACCATCAGAAAGCAATGCTGTCCAAGAAATATAAAAGAAGAAAACAGATTAGTGCCGTCCAAACCATGCCCGGTAAGCACGGGTTCCACATGCTGGAATCCATGTATGTTGTGTCAATTGTACAGTAGATGTTCCCACCCAGAAAGAAGATAAACACAGAAAGTACAGATGGGCAATACTCCACAAGATGCAGTACCAGTCCAGAAATGAAGGCTGAGAGGGAGTTTCTCCTGGTGATATGCTTTTCCTTTACCCCTTTCCAAATATAAAAAAACGTGCGCCCCGAAGAACAAGAAGTCTATAGCTCCGATTCCGGTAGGGTCCCGATTATCAGCGCCAAGCAATGCTCCTGCGAGAATCCCCGGATCAAGGATATGAATGAAGCAAGTAATAATGATGAAGTTGAGTTTATTCCAATCGCTTCCGTTTCCGATCATCGGCCATAGCATGCTGGTCTTCGTCCGGCCTCTCAGCGGTATCAGCTGGGTTCAGAAGCGAATGAACATTGCTGGCCATGCTGGAACGTCGAGTTGCTGGCAAAGACGATTCGTGTCGAGGGAATCTAGGTCCCAAAGACCAGCCGTTATCGGTTGGGGGGTTCTGATCGGGGTGCAAAGGGGGAGTTGGGTGTCGATGTTCCTGCAGACGCCGCGGTGCACCCATTTCATACTGGGCTAACACATCTCGGACCGATTGTTCACTTGACGTCGGAGTCCGGTGTCGAGAGGGAGACCAGGGATTCGTTGGCTGCGGGGGGTGTGCGGAAGGGAATGGCGACACTCCCGGTGGCGGCCAGCCATGCTGTCTAATGTCCGCCGAAGTGTGCCGGCGCGCAAGATTGGGCCCAGGCGGAGAGGATACGGACGAAAGAGGATGAGGCATAGGTTGCTGCGGAGTGACGACCGCTGGCACTTGCGGACGATTGTAGCTGGGGGAAGAATTTCCAGCGCCAATTGACCCGTACCGCCGCGGAGAGACGGCCAGATGAGGGGGGACAGGGGGCCGAATCATACCGGTCCTCGAGGGGTCCAGCATTGATGGGCGGCGACTCTCTTCCGGGGGCATTTGGCGCGGCGACAGCGGCGGACCTGCATCGCCAGAAATGCCGGTGACGTAGGGTTGTCGGACGGCCAAGTATGGGTCCGGAGGATGCTCCAGGGCCCGCACAGCCTCGAGGTGCTTCTCCAATTCCGCCTGCATGGAGGCCACTACACCAAATTTCGTTAGTCAATCATGCAGATGGGGCTATCAAATGGTGGATAGTCCTCACCGTCTCGATACAGAAGGCTCTCGCGATCGGGGATCATGCCTTGGAGGAAACGTGAAATTGAGTGAGTCCACTGGACGACGAAAAGAATCAGCAAGCATGAAACCACTAGATGTCGCGACCGCATTGGAGGCCCGTCAACTTACGTGATAACACCTGGTTAAGCTCTCGGCCATGGATTGACATCTTGCATTAAGGGTTGCATTTCCTTCTTCGGCGTTCCGTAGACGAGCATGCAAGTCATACATAGAGTGCTCCAGGTTCATCAAGCGGGACTCGGTGACATCGGGAACTGGCTCAGCGGGGGTGCCGGGCTGGGAGGCGGCGGCCTTGTGACCAGGAAATGAGTCGCGATGGATCAATGCATGACGGGATGCGCGCCGCTTGATCTCTCGCAAACCCACAAGATCTCCGCGCTTGAAGTTGCCATTCCCATGTTTAAACTCCCACAGAGCGGAGTCTGGCGAACCGGTGTGGAATACATCGCTCACTGGGATCCATGTGTATCAATAACGGTCGGGGCAATGCTATTTGCTGTCTCAGCCCGCATACCTTTATGAAATCCGTACATATTCAGCTGCCTGACGAAGGACGAAATGTTGGTGTGCTTGAAGTATTGACTGAGCTGTTCGTTAGCAGCTAGTTCCCACAGAGCGCGATAGGCTACGATAGGGGAAGACTAACGCCAGGACTTTGGAGAATTCGGAAGTCGGGGACATGACGAAGCTATCATTCGTACTCGACCACGAGATGAGGTGCTGAATACTGGGATCCTCTAGCATACTATACAGTGTTGTTAGATCGAGCCCGTTACCGTGAAGGGTTAAGGGGAACGGGGGAGGTATTCGAAAGGAAGCAACAAAACGGAAGACTGAACGACAAAAAATGGCCTCCGACGTACTTGTAGAGCTTGTGAATAAAGGCCGTCTGAACGACCTTTGGCTGCTGAGCAGCAGCAGCCGCACCGATGGCTTGAGTGGGAGCGGCATGGTGGTTCACATTGGAAGGTTCAGTAGAGCCATTGGAGGTGGCGGTGGTGTTGCTTGCGCCCGCCCGATCGCTATCGGGACTGCTATGGATGGGGGGCGCAGCGCCCGAGGCAGGAGGAGTAACCTCCATGGGATCACCGGTGGACTGGCTGGAGGGAGGAACGGAGGAGGCAAGGACAGGAATCTTGCGGGTTTTGCCGGGCGCATCGATAGCAGTGAGGATAAGCGGACTTCTGGACGGGGGATCGGCGAGACCGCTCATCTCGCGCGGCGGAACAGGGGGGGAGGGAGGAGGGAGGAGGAGAAGCAGGAGGAGGAGGGAGGGAGGGGGGGAAAGAGAGGAAGAGAAGAGGAGGGAAAAGAAAAGGAATGAGAACGGGGCGGCCGAGGAGGGAGCCGCAGCAGACGGAGAGAAAGAGAGAAGAGAGAGAAAAGAGAGCGAGGCAGAGAGAAGAGAGTAGACGACGGGATTCGCGTAAAGTGAAAAAGTACTTAATTCCTTTTCTGCCCTTTACTTTTTTGAGCCTTAGAGAAGAAGTAGGCCAAGACAGAGAGTTTCTTCAAGGCGAAAGGAATTAAGTAAATTAATGAAGGGGAATAATGCAATCAACTAAAAATAACATCGAAGAAAATAATTATATTAAAGATGGGGAAATTTGTTGAATAATAGGAAGTAGAAGGGAAGAAAACTAAATGATAATAGGTATAAGAATAGATAGATAGATAGATTGGGGGGGGGGGGGGAAAGCCTGCCAGTTTCTTTTCTCTTTCCCGCAAGAACAGCAACCAGCAGCAAATCCCCGAAGAGTAAATAGTAAGTAGTTTAGGAGTACTTGGATGGGGTTGGAAGATAAGAATGGGAATGGATTTGGGGGAAGAAGATGAAGAAGAAGAAGAAGAAGGTGGAGAGAGGAAACTTGGGAAGGAAAACAAGAAGAAAAGAATGAAGAACTAAATGACCAGCCGAGTAGTTCTAGTTCAATCAACTTAGTACTTAGTTACTGGTAAGTAGTAAAATTGCAGGATGGGGGATGGAATGGTAGTTCGAGTACTGATGATGAACCAAGAAGAGTCTGGGCCAGACTGGAAGTTGAGGATCATCGCCAGTCAAAAAAAAAGTGTCTCCGCTTCCCGAAGCATCGCCGTGCTCTCCATTGGTCCATCCATTCATAAAAACCCAACTTGTTCCCTTCCTTCCATCCTTCCTGTTGCTTTTTGGCTTTTCGCCTTCCGATCGCCTGCTGGGGCTGCGCCGTAGATCGATGACCCAGCGTTTCCTGTTTTCCCC